CCCGTCTCGCTCCCCTCCATCTTCCCTCCCCAGCCCCGTCCCACCCATGCACCTCCCGCCTCGCTCCCCTCCATCTTCCCTCCCAGCCCACCTCCACATCCATCTTCCGTCCCCGCCAACGCATGCTTTGTCTCGCTCTTCCGCGGCACTAGCGACTAAACGAGAACCCAAGCATCGGAGATGCTTTTGAAAATACATTCAGCCTTGGGAGCATCGGAGTCACTTCGAGACTACCCAAAATAACACGACAAGCTCAGGCTTTGCCCATGCGAAGGACCTCTAAAGACCTCTCTGCAAGTTCCCAATCACACTGAGGCATTTCCTGGAATGGGCACTGGCAATGACACCAAGTTGAAATCAATACTGTAAATACACAGTGTTCGTTGTGTCCTTTGGTGGGTATGGGTGACTAACGACTTTGGGGAAGTCGGTGAGGTAGGTGCCCAACCTGAAGCACAGTGGCAATCTTTAACTCCAGTGACACTTCCAAAAGCGGAAGAGCCGCGGGAGCATAATCTTCTTCCGGATGGTTCGAGCCTCGACAAGTCGACAAGGTGTGGCGCCAGATCACAGGTAAGAATGGCTAGATCAACTCAATCAAGAAGAATCAAGGCCAACAAATCTGACAACCGTGTATATATATATACATATATGTATATGTATATGTATATATGGTTTTTACATAAGTATTGCCTCCTTGCTGCTGCAAATCTGAGGCCATCACTGCAGTTTCTTGCTTGTCTGACCTGCAACGCTCCAAAAACACTGATTGAACGATTGAATTGAACTATATACAGCCCAACGTTTCCCTTGTTTATGCCTGCAGTTTGCTGAGGCAGGCGCGCTGCCCACACTGGCACGATATTGTGAGCATCCACCTGAACAACCAAATAAGACATTAACATCACCTGCAGAATCCACATGCTGCATGCTACAGTAGTGAGATGAGTTCACTTGTTTGAAGCCACAGGGCTCAAGAAACTTTCGCTCAGTTTCACCTGTCGGGTGTGCAAATTGGTTGTCTGCATGAGTTTCTGCAGCCGCCTGCACCACAGGCACCTAGACAGCGCCATGTCTCCCAAAGACGACTTGCCTAAGGAAGCCCATTAGCCTAAAAAGGCCCACAGCAATGACTTTTTGACTTCCCACGTTGCCATGACAACACAAGCAGCAAACGTGCGATGCCAAAAGCACGGATCGAAATAGAACAAACTGCACAGAATACAGCGGACAATCGCATTTGCGACTGCATATGTCTTTGCCGCATGGCCGCCACCTCGTGCCAGTTGCACGACGTGATCACGATCCACTGTAATTCTCGGGCTCTGAAAGACCCAGCAACTGCTGACATGTTAGCAGGGCTTTCTGGCACTGCTCTTCCAAACCAAGCGGAATGAGGTGATTCTGGAATCTCTTGCAATGTGCCAGGGTCCGCTGTGTCTCATCGAACAACATTTGGTGTGCCACAAGCGCTTGGGACGTCTGTCTTTGGAGTGCGTCTTGCATAGCTTGGACTTGCTTTGATTGAAGTTGTTGCCTCCGCTGAACCATTGCCGATTGCAGTTGTTGCCTCCGTCGGAAAAGCGTGCCAACATCACGAAGCAAATCGTTTGATCCGGCAAGCAGCGCCATGGTCAAGCGAATCCAGTTCAAGATGATCGAAAATGATTTGCTGATCTGTGGATCTTCCTGGGCTTTATCTCCCTCTGGCTCTACCTCATCCTTGTGCGCCTGGCAGCTGGCACTTTTTTTCACCTCACTACTGTAACGCACTGTAATGTAGAGCTCTGCTGGTGTCTTCTTGGAGGCGTGCCATCATACATTGCTCTTAGAAATCATAGAATGGGAGGCCAGTCGCTGAGCACTGGCAATATTACATCACATATGGGTAACATTGTACATTGATGAATGAGATGCTATGCGCTACAGTATCCAAATATATACCCCCTGGACAAAATGGAAATAGTATATATTATATACCTATAACTGGAGAGTTCCTGAAACCAAATCAATACCACAAACCCGCATAGAAGTTTGAACGGGCATGTCTGCATATGTGGCAACAAGGCAGCCTGCAATTCCCCGTCAGCTTCATCCTGCATCTTGGCACGCATTGCATCTTGTGCCTGATACGGAAAGAATAAGCACAGTAAGAATATTAGGAAAAACGGTTCGCTACTAGGGGCTCCTGGCATCGCTACTAGGAGCAAGGACGCTACTAGGGGCTCCTGGCCGTACTACAGTACTAGGAGCATTCTTTACTAGTAACAAGAGGCTTTCATTGTCATTCTCACAGCACCGGGGTCAAAGAACGACCCCTGATGAACTATCTGGGCCTCCTGATGAACTATCTGTGCATGGACTTGATGCGCTAAACGCCCCCAATGTCCAAGCACCTCGTGGAATTTCAATGTTCAAAAATCAAAGTGCTAGGCTCCAGACCCTGCTTCAGTTGTGAAACTGTTCCCTAGCTTAGGCCCTAGTTTCAGTCAGGATGCAGTTTGTAGCTTGCAAGCTCTGGCTACACCTGACCTCCAGCCAGTGCCCACATGCCGCGCCAGCAAAAGTTCTGTCATTCGTGGCCAATGTCTCCCATCAACATCCTTTTTGCATCTCTGGCTCCTGAAGAGCCTGAAGAGTGCAAACGAAGGGTGAACTCGCGTGCCCTTCAAGGCTCTACTTCGGGCTCAGCATTGAAATGGTGGGAACGGGAGCGCTCAAAATAAGACGAGGAAAGAAAACAAACGTTGACTTGCTCTATGCTCGATTCCAAGGCTTGGAGAACCGTGTTCATCCCTGCATTGCCAATGCCTGCCTTTCGCCATCTTCATCCGAGGAGCCAAAACACTAGTCTCGCCCAAGATTGGAGCACAAAGTGCTCTCTCTGACACTGGCCATCGTGAAGCTTTCTGACCAGCCTTAGAATGACTATCAGGTGCTACCGCGGCACCAGGATGCAATGCAGAACAAATCTAGCCCTATGCCTATGCACCCTTACATTTGCAACCCCATCCACCAACCGCTCTGAACTTTCACATTGTCCTTCATACAGCTTCAACCAGGAGCGCTGCTCACAATCTGCATGCCAACATGGCATGCATGAAAGCGCACACATGTTCACCAACTGTTTGGGGTGCCTCATATGTTATGGGCAAACTTCATCACACGACATGCGAGGATTCTCCGAGCGATCGATGCATCAATTCAACAGTGTATATATATATACAAAAATGATAGAAGAGCCTGCATACAGGTGGAACAAGGAATTGGAATGATAGCCAATAGAGTCCCACCTTACCTAGTCTTTTCTATTCTTTGAAGCATTGTGTTTATCTTTTGTTGCATGCTTTCCTATTGTTCAGAAACAGTTGTTCTGTCCTTCTTCTATTTCCCGACAATTGTTTTCAGAAAAAAACTAGTTGCTCTATGTTGTCAATGTTGTCTTTCTTTGTTTATTCTAGTTGCTTTGTTTCCAAAGTGCTCGCTTCAAGATCGAAAAGACACTGTTTTGTCAGCTTCTTGTCATAGGTTTAGGACTTCGCGATGTGCAGGTTGGATGATTGGATGATAGATTTTACATCATACATGTCACAACCGATGAGAATAACCCCCACCTCATCATCAAGTCATTGGGAACGTACACGGCCCTTTTGTACATTATCTTCGGAACATTCCCACATCATGGGGCCAATTCTGCGTTGTGAGGCCCATTCTGCTCTTCCATGAGCTTCTAATTGGTTGCTTGCACGCACTTGCTGCAGCCAAAGTGTGTGCATATGATTTGTGAAAGGGTGGTTTCTGTGTGGTGGCTAATTGATGCCAACAAATGCTAATTGTATAGCTGAGCATGCTGGAGAGCCTGCCCAAGGTGACCAAGCTGCCGTGCCCACGATATAGAAGCTTGGGACAAACGAAGGTGTGAATAAGCCTCTTGGTGATCTGCCTTGGTCCACTGCTGCCAGAAGCAAGGGTGATGTGGCATGTTGCTGTCAACGGCTGTCAGTATGCATGACAGCCGTCAATTGCCAAACAAGTGTGCCAAGAAGCCAAGGTTTGTCGGGATTGACAAAGAGCACACAGGCAACTCGCCAAGCGGCCCCAACGGCGAAGAACCTGCATGCAGCAAACACATTCATTCAAACACCCAAAGAAATTGAGAGAGCTGTTTGGATCCAATTCACAAGTTTGGGGCTCTCAGCAACAGCTTCACATAGCACTGCCTACATTCTATGAAAATCGCAACGTGCGCCACCAACAGCAAATCCTGGCCCGAACGTTCCTGGCCAAGGAGCGCTGTGTCTCTGGCAAACTCTGGTTGAACCCAATCTCCAGCCATCGGCCACAACCCGTGCCAGCAGCAAGTCAGCTATTCGTGGCCAATGTCTTAAAGCATCATCTGACTTGTGGCTGCACTGATGGCCCCTTGGCAAACCCAGTGGCACAAGCATGTCATTGCATAGTGCACGCACATGCATATGCAAACCCGGTGCCTGACATCAACCAATTCCAGCCTTGGCTCAGGTCAGATCTAAGTTGGACTAAAGCTCAACAGCTCCAGTGAAAGAAATAAAATGTATATATATAGATATAAATAAATATATATAGTTTTCGGGTGCAAGGCAGGCGGCATTGACGCGAGCCGCGCCCATGCTTGTATTACCCAGCTTTCTCTCTCGGCTTGGCTTCTACTGATGACCGTCACCAACCTCAAGGTTCTCAATTGCAACATCGGAAATTTCGATGAAAATCAAGACAGTGAAGGATTTGGGGTGTAGCCAACTCCCTTTCGGCGTTGCACCTTTCGACGACACAAATAGCAAAGTGGGCTCAACCTGGTTTCCAGCACAAGTCTCCGTGCCCAAGACATCAAAGCTCGTCGAAACTGATCGCTTGCGATAACAGCGTCTCGATGAGCTTCCTAGGAAGCACTCACTTCGTGTCGACGAAATGCCAAAAAGGCACATATAACCCTTGTTTGTCAACAATCCCACGCTCTCAGCCAGGAACAATGACTTGACGATGTACCAGAAATGCGGCCACCTTTCCCCATTTCCATGTTGTCTGAGCTTTCCGATAGGTGGATGCAGCCTCAGCATGAACCGAGGCTCTCTGCACCAGCAAACCAACAAAGTGCAATCAAGCAGCAATTTCATCTGCCTCCGAATCAAATTTGATGGATGCTAAAGCAGAGCCAGCCAAGACTGTCCGGATTCGAAGAGACCATCCGTTCAAATTCATTGTCGGAATGCACCATCGGCAAGTTGCCATGGCAACAAGACTTGGTGAACGCTTCAATTCAACGAAAAGAGACGCAAAAAGGGCAGGTTTCACTTACCAGCCCTGAGATGTATGATTGAAAGACTTGCGTCTGGGCGATGCTCATCAGAACTAAGTAGCAGCTGGGCCATACAGCAAAACTGGAGCTGTGATAACATGTTTTAGTTGAACAAATGTGCAAAGCAAAGACTGATGCTCCAAAGAAGCTGTGCCCAAGAGCGCTGAATTCTGACTGTCACATCCTCTGCAGAGGAATAGCCTTTGCTGTCAGGTCACATGTCATGCTAAGCGTCAAACGCGCACTTAGCTCTTAATCACCTTCACCTTGAGGTCTCATGCCAAAACACGAGACTTCACCGTCTCCAACTCAGACTTCCTCAGCAATTGGTGCTACTTTGACTTCGATCTGCCCCTCAAAACCTATGCCTTTTGCCAAACATTCTGTTCAGTTCAAGTTCTGGGCACAATGAACGATCGCACGTCCAGGATGGCAAAATGTTGGCACATTTAGCACACTCGCGGAAATGCAAGCATCATCTGATTAAAAGTGGGTGCCATGCTTGACGAAGCATTCTGAGTTTCAAAGGAGGATGCAATGAAGTCTCCAATCCTTAACCTTGACCTGTGCGAACCCTTAAGCCTTAAAACAATCTGACTGTAGTATCGACGGTTGCCTTACTCGGAAGCCTTCGCTCTTGTAGCACGACTTGTGTTGGACCAAAGCTAAGGATCAGAGCTGTGACATCTTGCTCAGCTTCAAGAAGGCAGTCCTGACAAACCCTGAATCAACATCACTCCTGCCAAAACCTTCTGCACATCGTCTTCCCTGTCCTGCAGCTCCTTGCACCTCTTTTGGACCTCCTTGCGTTCCTGCTCTCAGCATGGCACAACAAATGGTGGAGCGGTGACAGGCACAGCATGTCAGAAACCGAAAAGAATCTTATGTGAACACCACATGCAACATCCCCTCCAAGCCTGCTCCAATAATCCTCTTGCATCTGCCATTAGCCCTGACATCCCTGACAATGACAAGGGCTGCTCCTGACAAAGTGCGGCCATCTGCAAAACAAATGTCTCTCGGAACATTGCCAAACTTCCCCCAAACTGCACCCCGCACCATGTCCTGATTCAAACTGGAGGTACCTGCGATGACCAAGGAAACTCGGTGTCATGTTCTTTTTGTTTAATGCTGTGTGTGTAACCCTGGAAATCACAGGGGTCCTTTCGGATTGCGCTGTCGTTTTCCTTTAATTGCAATTTTAGCAGGGGAGCGCGGCGTGATTGTGGGACCGCACTCAACGAAGCTACCACAATCACGGTTTATGTAGGTGTTTTTAAGGGGGTTTGGTTTCGTTGGTTTCTGTCCCCTTCATTTGGTTTCCCCTTTCATC